AAACTATCTAAACTATATTTTAAGAATAATTTAAACATTCCCTGACCTGGATAGCCCAGGCATGCCCGATCTCATAAGATCTTGGAAGCTAAGCAGGGTCAACTCTGGCAAGTACTTGGATGGGAGACCTCCTTGGAATACCAGCAGTCAGGAGGTGGGGGCAGGCTTTATTCAGCCACCTCTCTGAATATCCTCCAGGCCTCCAATAGAGGTCAGTCACCAGAGGTCACCATGACTTCCAGGTGCACACATACTCTATCACACACATGCACATATTCAAAAATAAAAAAAAATCCCCCAAGAATAATTTAAACATTATAAGAAAAAACAGAATCAAATCGAATTTCATTTCAGAAAATGTCCACTATATTTGTAGACCTGACCTCTGGAGAAAAGCATAATAAGGGTGTACAAAACCCCACCCCATTTTTCTGGCTCCATTATAGCCTATGTGGACCATTATAGTCAATGGCCCCATAGAATATAATATAAAAACCTTTATTGGCATATAAAATCAGTAAGAACTTCATCAAGCTAAAATTACATCTATAAATCTTAGAACACACCAATATTAAAAATAGTTTCTTGCTATCAAAATTTTAGACAAAAATTCAGCATCTGTACAGTCACTTCTGGTATGTTATCAGCAAGGAGAAACCTGATTGCATTATCAGAATTGATCCTACTCAGTAAGGGCTTAATCAAAAATAGTCAGAGATGTGAATGGAAGGGGCAGCGTAGCAGAATATAATCTAAGGTATCGGGTTCTTTAAGTGAGCATTTGCAGATTCTGTCGCATTTATCTACGTGAGACCCAGGATGAGGAGAAAACATTGGATCTGGTCAGCATAAAGGCTCTGTGTTGCAGCAAAATCACCAGATTAGAGAAGTATTGGACCATACTATTTGGTGCATATCTGAGGCCAAGGGAATGGGGGGAACAAGTACCCCCGACACCAGCCTGGATTGTTTGGCCTTTGATGTCCCAAATTCTTTTACGAATCATCCGGTATATAAAGGTCTCATCTTGATTTTCCAAGATGTCCAGGTCAATGCCAATTGAGCGTATTTTAGAAGTTATATCCTTTGACAACTTGGATACATATGGATCCATAGTCAGGAGTGCAATAAGGGTATTCTGAGGGGCACTAAAATGGATGTGAAGCCAATATTTAATAGTGGTGATCCATGCCCGCGAGTCTAACAGGTGGAGACCCAGCTCAGCGCAGAGAGAATAATAGGTAACAGAGTCAGGTAGTCCAAGAATGCGTCACAAGAAGATTACATAAATTCGGTCAGTCTCTTTATTAAAACTCTGAATCCACACAGGGATTCCATATAGTAAGTGAGAGACTACTGTGGCCTGGAAAATTCGAAGGGCGGCCGGGACGAACTGGTTTCCTTGTCGGTAATGAAACTGAGTGACAGTCGAAATCCTGTTTTTAACTAATAAAAGCAATTAGTCCCGATGGGAAGACCATTTTAAATTATAATGAAACAAAACACCCAAATACTTAAAGGATCTAACTTGCTCAATTTCTCTCCCATCAATTTTCCACAGGGTACGTTTCCACACCCTGGAGAAAACTAGGATTTTTTTTTTTCATAATTAAGATTTCCAGAGTATAAGCTTTCAAGATATTTGACAAAGGGAGTTTTGACCCTAGAAATCTGTAAGACCAACAAAGTTTTATTCAAGGTATAAGCTTTCTGAAGAAGTGTGTGTGCACAAGAAATCTTGTACTTTGAATAAAACTTTGTTGGTTAGAGATGCCACTGGATTCAAACTTTGTTCTGCTACTTCAGACCAGCATGGCTATCCACCTGACCCCAGAAATCTTGTTGGTCGTTAAGGTGCTACTGGATCTCAGATCTTGCTCTAGCATCGGAAGAAGGGCCTGTGCAATTCCATTTGCACAAAGGAGTTCTGCCATCTACTTCTTTCTGCTACAGCCTCTTGTGTCCCCAGATCAACACTCCAAATGCCTGGTACCCTTCAGAATGACTTGGGAGGGGGGAGGGGGACAGCAGCAGAGGAGGAGTCAGTAGAATTCAGAGGATTTCTTATTGCAGTGCCTCTCACACATTAGGTTCTCTGGGTCCCAACCACTGAGGTTATGTTCTTATCTGGAAACCTGTTGCTTAGTTTGCGGCTGTAGAACTGATTAATGAGCTAATCATCAGTTAAGTGGGAAACAATGGGCAGCTCAGACTTCAAATTATTCAGAATTTACTGAATAATTCTATATATGCCAGAGTCTGAACTTTATAATTCCAGACCCTTGTTGCAATAATGCCAGATTTTTACAATTCCACTGGCTCCTATAGAAAGCATACAAGGCTGCCTGGGAAATGAAAAGTGAGACATTCCCCTTACAACCTGGCATCAAATGTGAGGAGGGACTTGAGTGCCCCAATTGGTGTTGCCATAATTTTGCCATGGGAACAAGAGCTGGGGTAAGAGCAAAGCCTGCGACTGACGTCTGTCTGCATTGATGAGATCCTGAAGCAGGCTCAGGCAACAGAAAGCACTTTCACATTGGCCTTTCCCATCTAAAGGGCAGGCACAGCTGCTTTGCAACCCCCTTGTTGTTGCCTAGCCATTTGCTGCTGATTAATGCTCTGCATGCTGGAACTGTTCTCCCCGTGTCCCTTTGTGGGCATCTCTGTCGATGCTTGATTTCTAGTCTACCTGTTAGTGTGTATATTTACTTAATATTTCAGAACAGGATTTAGGATTAGTAGGTGCATAGAGTAAGCAAATTGTAGATTAATAGGTCATTTTTATATTTCATTGAGGGTCCTTAGCCATAAGGATAAGGTCAGTGCTCATACATTTGAAGCTGGCGCAGCAACTGGGAAAGGGTCGGGGGGCTGTGGGGTACCTTATAAAAAGCACTTTGCCTTAGGGGTTTGCATTTCAAACAAGTTTGTTTTCATTTCGTTTCAGTATTTCAGAAAGGGCTTGATTACTATTTTCCTGCAATCTGGGGAGTATTTATACCCTTTTGGGAATTTATTTCAAATAACGGGTTCAGGAACAGCAGGTGTCAGTAGACCTGGCCTCCATGTGGAGAAGGCGAGGTTTGCTGCCAGGGGTTTCAGTGGATGGTCGGTCTGGCACCTTGACTCAGATGCCAGGTGTGCCCTGAAACCAAAAAAAAACCCCTGGAAAACATCCCAAAAATTTTAGGAATACCTTTTGCTGTTTTGGATATCCCTGCAACTAAATGATACAGCAAATTTGGGGTATACCGTTGTCTCAAAACTAACCAGATGCACACCCCTAGTCTTCCTTATAAATTTTTAGTGGGAAATGGCCATTTCTTCTTTTTTACTTTAAAAGAATTCCAAATTTCTAAACCCTCAATTTTTTGAATCTGAAGAAGCAGAACTGTGAATCTGAATTTCAAATCCAAATTTTGTGCTGGAACATGTTTCTATAAAACATCAGTACTCAGCTCAAATTTAAATCTTTTTAAGTCTGCTTGGACATAATATGCACAACTTGAAGAGCAGATGGGCTTCATCCCACTTTGCTTTGCTTTGCTTTGATTGCGCAAGCTCAACACAGAGACATGGGGGAACCCTATTGACCAGAATAGAGCGAAGTAGCTTTCTCCCCAAGCATATTCCACTCCAAATGGCATATCTTAGTGCTCTTCTTAGCTTGGTTCCCTTGGAAATCTTGACTTTGTGCTCAGGAAATTGCCTGAAGGTCACTGATGTAATATTAATTTCAGAAGCTAATCAGGATTGGACCTGATCAGTGTTTCAAGTGTGAGGCCATCTAGAAACCCATATATGTTGGTACAAGTTTCTTGGAGAGCAAACAAGAAACTTACTGTCCAACTAGGTGCATGTAAACTCTGTATTCCATTATGTTTTTACTTCATTTATACCCTGTCTTTCTCCCTAATGGGAGGATATATTTACTTAATATTTATAATGTAATAATAATAATAATGGGAACCAAATGTGGCTTACATTATTCTCCTGTCTTCAATTTTAGTTTTAAAAATATGGTTCATGCTTAGATTAAATGTAGGATTTCAAAATTGCGCATACGTGTGGTCAAGCCAGATTAGTCAATATAACATGTATGAATGTCTGGCGCCCTGACCTGGATGGTCCAGGCTTGCCCAGTTTCATCAGATCTCAGGAGCTAAGCAGGGTCAGCCTTGGTTAGTACTTGGATTATAGGAGAGCACACGGGTTGCTGTGCAGAGTCAGGTAATGGCAAACGACTTCTGAATGTCCCTTGACTTGAAACCCCCAAGGGGTCACCGTAAGTCAGCTGTGACTCAACGGCACTTTACAGATGCACACCTATGAATGCCTGGCACTGCTGGGGTGAGTAACTGGGGAGATAAAGCACTTTCCCTGCTTCTCATGAAGCAGAGACCATTAAGTCATCCTAACTAGCACTCTGTCAGTTTCATTTGAACTAGTTTTGTCAGTTAGAGACATTAACAGTGTTTTTAAGTGAGGGTGCAGAAAAGGGAGAAATGATGATCAGTGATCAGTACAGAAAAAAAATATTATTACTTTCACAGTAAAAAAGTATCACTACTTTCCCAGAGGCCTTATAATTGCCTTGGGCACCTGGACTATATATACAATTTAAAAAATAAAGACATGATTTAGACTGAATGTCTAAATAAGCCATTACAGTGACCGTAGCCACTTCACATTTTGAGTCACTGTTTCCTTTGGGTTTTCGGGTTTTCTGTGTAAGGCAGAAAGGGGTGGGGGTGGGGAGACATAAAATATAAGAGAAATTTCTGAATAGTTCAGTTTATCTTTTTTAAAAAAAATCACAAACATATATAGGAATCATATTCAATAAATAATACATTGTACTTAATAATCTAATCATGACTTCCCTGCATTGATATTATGTCTTTTTATAATATGTTACATTGTAATATATTCTGTGACAATGCCTCATTCTTAACTGCCAAATATCCACTGCAGTTCCTTTTGATATTTCTCCTCAGACCAAACTCCGACACCAACCCGGTTCCTGAAGAACTGTGAGGAAGTGGGCCTCTTCAACGATATAGACTGCTCCTTAGAGCATGAGTTTAGAAAGGCACAAGAAGAAGAGACCAATAAAAGGGTATGCCCCTTTGTAGCCTGGAAACCCTTATTATCTCTTATGTGCTGTGAGAATGTTGTGTGAAAGCTGAAAGAGCTCTTATTACCTGAATGAGGGGGGGAAACTTTTAGATTGGAAACTAGGTGGCACTATAGATTGTGACATGTTTTCAGACATTCATAAACTGATATAATTGAGCATGTATCCAGGTTTAAAGCTAATGAAAAACCATTAGTCAGCTTTTATAACAGTGAACAGGATAAGATTACCAGTTCCACACTTACACAAACCACCTTGCAACTGTATCTCTCTTGAGAGCAGAAAACATGTATACATTTCTGACCTATGGGACTTGCAAGAATTTATCTGTGGTAAGTGGGAAAAGAACTGGTGGGCAGAAAGACCTTGATTCCTGCATTTCTAACATTTTTTGCAAAAAATATGGTCAAAATAAGTTGCTGGTATCAGTTTAACTTAAATGGAGAAAGTTCCCATTTATAAGAAATAGCGCAGTTGCCACTGATGTTTGAAAAGGGGGGTTGTATGTTTTAAACTGCTATTTTTGTGGTTCTAATTTTCTGCTGTTGTCTGTGGTTGTAGCAGTAGCACCTGAAGGGTTCTCTCCTGATATTCTGTGTGGATATAGTGTTTCTGTGGATGTATGTGAATTGGACTAAGCAGAAGAAGGGTCACTGAGTTCTTCTAAGCATCCACCACAATGATGTTGAAAGCCAATTAAAGTTAGGATTTTAGTTTTTCCTTCTTCCTTTCACTTTGCAAATTCAGGCTACAATCCAGTCAAGTGTTTTGACATATAGGTTTGAATTGCTGCTATTATATATGAGACAGCTTCTGAAGCTACACTGAATTTTAAGATCCGTTTGTTTTGTGGCGAGGGGCACTGCTGTGGAATCTAAAAAAGAAACTGAGAACCTTTTTGAAGTGTGGCACTCTGGACTCAGGAATGTTGTCATATATAGTATTTAGCATAAGGAAAACACAGAATTATACTTTTTACCCAAGGAAGGTCTGAGAGACATAGACAGATTGAGGCAAGACTGATGAAGTATTCATATAAACCTCTACCCTTCCAAAAAAAAAAAAACCCCAGTTCTGAGTGATGCTGCAAAGTCTGACTTATGAAAACAGGAGTGCTTGTTTTATGTTTGATGCACAGGAGGGTCTTCACGCACAGCAGCAAAGCTGGAAGTTTCATGCTAGATAAAATTTCCTACCCAAAATAACACTTTCACGTCGGTAGCGCTGTGACTCCTCTGAGTGCAGTTGGTCGCTGTGGTGAATGCTGATGCGCCTGTTACATGCAACAGTAAACTTTGATTGGCAGTGGCTTCACCCTTGGTGTAGATCTGGTAAAACAGTGCCTAGGTCATTCATCAAAGGACAAACTATCCATAGTTGTTTATGTAGTCTGTGTGAAATTTTGTCTCCTTTGAAGTGTCCCCCCCCTTCATTCTCCTAGAAGGACAACACACCTTTTGACAGGCAAATTGTTGCAATTAGCAAGTCAAATCCAACATTGTGTGGGTGAGGGAACTGCAGTGCAGTCCTAAACAGAGGCTTACACCCTTCTAAGCCCCTTGACTTCAATGGACGTGGAAGGGTATAGCTCACCTTAGGACTGTCCTGGGGTTTTTTTGCTTTTTTTTTTTAAAGACCTTTATCAATTATACAGTGCAATCCTATGCAGGCTTACTCCAGTCTAAGGTAAGTAAATGGGTTTAGACTAGAGAAACTCTGTGCAGGATTGCACTGATCGAGCTCTAACAGAATAATGACATTTTGCACAATAACATGTGGCTTCCTGCCACAAGGATATGACCATTTGAATTTCAGCAGGGGGCAATAACAGGAGAGAGGAGAGGAAAGAGGAGAGGAAAGGGTAGGCATGGGTGACAGAGAGAGGGAGAAATGGTAGAGGCAGTTCATGCTAGCAGCCAGTACTCATAGAGGGAAAATAGGTCACACAGCTATTAAATTGATACACTTGGAAAGAACAGTTCTGGAGTCTCCATCCTGGGTTCTAGTACCTAGTCCACATATGCTACTGAGGAAAATGAAAATGGCAGTGAATGACATTGAGTAACAGGATATGGGAGAATGTGAACTTCCTGACGTCCAAGTCAGGGAGTCATCTCTCTGTGACAGTAGCCTGTAATTGGCGGCTCTGCCTTGGACAGAGACTGTCACTCAGGCTCGGCAATCCAAAGCAGCAAGGTAGACAGTGTCGGCAGATCAGGTTTTCATCAAAGCCGCAAGCAGCAGGTTTTAGGTTTACATTGGTCGTGAGCATAAAGTATCCGAAGCATTTGCCATAGGTTATATTTGCAACCACATGACCTTTCCTGTGGCCGGAGAAGAATTGCTGGGGAATTGGCTGTGTAGCAATGAATGCAAGTCTGCAAGAACAAAGTCAAAGCTGGGACTATCTATATCCCTTCTCTACCAAATAACTGGAGCAACGGTATTAAAAGATCTGCATAGTAAAGCCTCTCCTGTATTCTGTGCATGACTGAAAAAAGGGCAAGCGGCATCCAACTTGGGACAGTATAAGGTGCTCCGTTTGAAGTAGGTATATCTTTACTATGACGGGAGGTGTGAGCTCAGAGTGTCTTTTGAAATCTCTTGCACAGTACTTCGCCAGTGGTATCAAATGTAACATGGTTTCAAGATCCTAGTTATAATAATATTGAACAGCACAATCTGCAATGCCAGTGCACACAATGCAACTGCCATTATCTTGGCTAGACTCTCTCTAGGGGCTGATTGCATAGCGATCGAAGAATCATTGTGGCATTTGTCTTGTGTTTTGGGGTGGGTAGGATAGATATGAAGAAGGGGAAGAGCATGCTGTATAAATGTCCTGTCTGCTATGCCACCAGTTTTTGAAGCTGTTTTTCAGGGTTTCTAAGAGGCTGAGGCGAGAGGGGAAAGGCCAAATCTTTGTACATTTGGTCCACTGAACCAGTATCTTTAAAATTCTGAACTGTTTAATGTCCAATAACTTTCTAAGTTGTCCATGAACCCATGCAAAAGGAAATTTCTTAGTCACATACAGTGTTCTCACGTTGTAGCTGGGTGACAAACTAAAGCAATGAATCCACACCACTAAGGTCAGTGTTGTGCTGGGTTGCTCTACCAATCTTTGGTGCATTACTGTAACCAGTGATCCTGTTTACCCATAAATGGCTTATTTAGTGCTCACAGGCTGAATGCAGAGTGTTGGGAAAAAATATCCTAAGAGATATCAGCATTTGTGCATATGGACTTTGCTACCTGATGCTAGTTTGCAGGCTCTTTTCTGGACTACCAGAGATTGGCACATTTCTATATTTATTTATTTAGGAGATTTTAATGCTGCTTCTCCAGAAACCTGCTTATGGGTGTTCCTGAGATTTGGATAAATCCCTTTCTGGAAGCACCCTTGTCAAAAAGCCTCAAAGCGAGTAAGTCAAGATGCACACAGAATTCCATTCTTATCTTTCAACTTCCAGAAGATTGTGAATCAGGCTGCCAAAAGTGACAAGGTTATGCACTGGAGATGGTGCTTTTCTCCTATGGTTTTAAACATGATTCACTGCTAAGAAATCAGGAAACAAAAGTTCTCATTATATGGCTTTGGTGGACTGACAGTGCAATCCTAGATGGAGCTTCCACCTTCTTCTAAGTAAGTCCACTGACTTCAAATGGGCTTATGAAGGTATAACTCAGTGTAAACACTTTTTAGCGCCTTACTGCTAGAGAGAGATTGATACAGGAGATAGGTTTTGGTATGAGGAAATAGGGTAGTGGTGCTGGAATAATGCGATTTGTGAAAGGATTTTTGAAAAAAAATTAATATTTACAGTCTTTGGCTAAATGACATGCAAAAAATATAAGTTGACAGTTATTTTAAGCATTTAAGAGAAAGGTTCACTTGAATCTTCCTGCTTGTCAACACTTTCTTTTCACCGGATTAAACTTCTTCCTTGCTAATACCATGACTGTAATTGCAAAGAGTTGGACTCTACTGTGCGACTGAACAACAACAACAACAAGAACAACAAACTTCAATTCATTCCATACCATATTATGAATACATTTGGAATAGGGCCTTATAGATCTATGAGCCTCTGATGACTAAGGAGGGGATACTAACTACAAAAAGTTTATATAGAAGTTTATAAAGACAAAAATTCAGCAAAGAAAGAGAAAGGTCTGAGTGGCTGGTGCCGTGGTACAAATCCAAAGACAATCAGAAGTGTACATGTGAGAAATAAAAAGGGTTTATGAGGTTAGAATACCAATGCTTTCCCAAATGCCTCTTTATATTCAACAGGTGTTGTGCAACACTGCAAGCACGGTAATGTGTGGCTCATATTTATTTCTGTATGATTCGTGCAGACGTTTCCAGTAGTACGTCCTTGCAGCTCGTCACTGCATGACCTCTAGAGTTGGTACAACATAGTGGCAAAGAAACTGAGCTATGAATTCGAATGGCCATAGTTCAAATATTGCCTCTTCCACAAGTGGCTTTATGCTATTTTCTCTCTCATTTGAGCTATAATATGAGGACAATCCTGTTGACCTCCTTTAATGGGTTGTTACAAATTTATAACAAAAAGGGGTATCTGAAACGTTTAACTAATTTTTTATTGATGCTTATTCAAATGATTGAAGTCCTATGTAAGGGGAAAGAACTATAGCATAGTTAATATCAGTAAAATGTTACTACAGTGTTATATATACAACTGGTGAGAAAATCAGAACTGACTTGAGGGTAAGCCCCTCTGAATTATATGGGACTTACTTTCAAGTATAAATGCATAAGATAGTGTTGTAAGGCATATAATTCATACAAAGTTTAATGTAGGTAGAATGTTAAAGTGAATGTACAATAAAGAAAAGAGCTATATTGTCAGTTAGTTGATTAGAAGATAACCCATGGTTATTACACCAAATAGCTCTTTTGAGATAAATTATCCAATACTGTTAACAGGTCACATCAGCTGAAATGCTTTGAA